GGCCCCACTCGGTGGTGGCCCCACTCGGTGGTGGCCCCACTCGGTGGCCCTTCCTGTGTCTGATATGTCTCAGAATGGCAGTCCCCAGCCACAATAAGAACCACCGTATACAAAGTGATATCACCGATGGCCGGGTGCCCATCCCCGACGAAGCTGCCAACATTGATGCTCTTCCAAAACAATGTATTTGATGTGTGTTCACAAGAGTTACCGATCACTACTGGCAGCTAGGAGTCAGCTGGCACTCAACGTTTGGCTTTTTGGCGGCCTGGCTCTTACAACAAACCTTCAACTCTGCATCAATCCACTCCAGTCTCCGGTACAGCGCACCTCATCCCAACAGACACAATTAAATGATGGGACAGAACCTACTGAAAGTTTCTTTCACTGAATCTCACATAAAGGGTACATGAGTTAAAGAAAGAAAGGCTAAGTCTGTTTGAATAAAAATAAAAATAATAATACCGCTCCTGTGTGTGTCGGTTCAATACAAAGCTTTAATAATGCATTTAATAAGGCAAGTGACGCTAAAGCCATAAAACTGTTAGCTTAGCCTAGAATAAATAGAATTACTTTGTTCAGTCAAGCTAAAGGGACTGTTAGCTTAGCCTAGCGTTAAGAGCAGATATATTAAGGCAATTTTGTTTTGGGTTGGAAAAGTCAAAGTTATTGCAGGAAATGCTGTTTAACAAGAAATGGTACTAGTCTCACAAAACAACACTATGCTGCCTAGAGATGTGCCTGACTGTCCACTGGCTTAATTTGCTTACACTTGGTTGATGCCATTTATTTTGGAAATTGGCAATACTTGATCAATCCTTTGACCGATCAATCAACCTCTGGTTACCCATTTGCTAACACAGAGACCAAAGAGATCTGAGCAGAGCTAATAATGAGCAGCATAAGATGCATGGACAGTTTGTCTTAATTGGTAAATAAGTTAAATGTAATGTTTGTGAGTTGTAGCCAAGAGGTCCACTGTGAGTAGAGTAGTCCCTTTTAATTGGTGTTATTAAGCACCCAACTGTTGAAAAAGTGCAGTTACAATTTCAGTGGAAAGGTTAATTTAGATATTTGTCTCCAACATATTTTTTCAATCATTCAACCTTTATTTCTTCAGGTTAATCCCACTGAGCCTCGGGGACTCATTTACAAGAGACACCTGACATTTACCTAGAACAACAAAGCAGTAGTAGGTTTGTGGAAGACTCACACAGAATTATCCAATTGTTCATCATGACCTTTGCTGTGATAGAACTGAACTCTGTTGCATCCTTGATGGTTCACCGGACTGACTCAAGTCCACCAGTGCCCAATTTTACTGAACTGGAAATAATTAGGAAGCACGTATCTCTAAGGTCTTAGAATTGATTGCCCGTCTCAGGGTAAAAACCAAGCCAGGAGGGTGAGAGAACTGTCAATAGATCTGTGAGACAAGATGGTGTCTGGATTCAAATCTGGAAAACAGTCCAAGAAGATTTCAGAAGCATTTAAAAAGTTGGAAAGCAAAAAAAAGGGGTCACTATCTGAAGCGGCAGACGTTTGTAACCACTAAAGACTTCCTAGATCTCGTTTCCCAGTCAATCCAAGTAATTAAACGGCTTAGACGGTCAATTAGCCATCAACACAATGGACACTTCAAACGCAATTCAATGGAGACTGAAGAAAACCTGAGGCAGAAGTCCACCAATCAGGATGTTAGGATGTCGTCTACTTGAAGGGGTTGAGGGTTAGATCCCCAGTCCATGTAGTGTAATGAAGTGACTATGGCAAGACACTGTGTCCACACTGCCCACTGATATCCTCATGAGTGTACGACGAGTCTTCTTCTTCTTCTTTGGCTTCAGGGATCACCATAGTGATACTGTCCTCTGTGTCCTCTGTCCTCACTCCAACTACCTCCATGTCCTCTCTAACTGCATCCATGTCTCCTCTGGTCTTTTTCCTGGCAGCTGCATTTCTAACATCCTTCTACCAATATACCCACTGTCCCTCCTCTGGACATGTCCAAACCACTGTCCCTCCTCTGGACATGTCCAAACCACTGTCCCTCCTCTGGACATGTCCAAACCACTGCCCCTCCTCTGGACATGTCCAAACCACTGTCCCTCCTCTGGACATGTCCAAACCATCTCAGTGTGTCCTCTCTAACTTCATCTCCCAGTTGTTCAACCTGTGCTGTACCTCTGATGATCTCATTCCTGATCTTCTCCATCCTCGTCTCTCCCAAAGAGAACGAACATCTTCAGTGCCACGGTCTCAAACCATGCGCCACAGATGATCTCACCATGGTCTTGTTTGAGGCATTCTTTCTCAAATGTTTGCCAAAAAGAACTTTAAAGACTGTAAATAATCTTGAAGGGCTGTTGTCCTGCATCAAGGACATATACACAAGAAAATGATGGAAGGAAAGATAGATGCATAAAAATATATGAATGGAATGGCTAATTTTTCAAAAAGGTTGCAAACCAAAGGATATCATGAGGTATACCCAACCCAAAGTTTGACCAAAACCCATTGGAGCATCTCCAGAGACACCTAAAACAGCAGTATACTGATGTTCAGTCAAGTCTTTTAACTTGGGTCTAACCAAATTAGAAGTTCCTATAAGCACTGCACACTTACTTTAAGACATAAAGGGATTACTTCTGTGAAAGAATGTCTAAATGTGTTATTTTAATGCACAGAGATGAGCTTTTAAGGGTTTAAAATGCCTGAGAGGGTTTCAAGAATCCCTGCATATAAACTAGAACAATTAGAAAAGATGAGGACATTTGGAAAATGTCACCTGTAATGGGCGTTGCAGTATTTCTTGGCATAGTCTGTCCAGGTTCCAAACCTTTTGGGATAGAGGGCATCAATCTGCATGAAAAGCTGTGGAAAACACAAAGGTTGTAAATTGTGATAATAACTTCACGTCAAAGTAAAAGGTAATGTGAGAGCATATCAGCAAATAGGAGACAATTGTTTAAAACAGAAAAAAGTATGTAAAGTCTTCATGAGACAAATGTCCAACTGTCTTTTAAACAGTTAATTTTAGATCACTGGTCAAAGAACAATGGTAAACAGATGCAGACAGCAAAGTTTAAAGCTGAACACAAAGAAAATTCAACAAAATCAAAGTATCGTTAATTAGTAAATATCAGCAAGTTATCCAAACTAACTAAAAAAGACCTCCATAAATAAAAATATAAATTTCAAAGACCAATAAAACATCTGAGTTCTGTAACTGGACTTTAAACAAACCAATGTCTAGTGCTAACTTTATTTATTGCTAACATTAGATTAGCCTTCTATGACTCAGCAGTTTCTAATATATTGTCAAACATATCAAACAGGCACAACAAAACTTTATTTATTCATTTTTTTATGACTAAACTTTTTTTTTTACCTAATGTGTAGACTGTAATTGCGATCATTAGCTATTTCTGCTCTTGGGGACCTGAACTACCATCCTACTTTGATTAAAAAATAAATAAATTATCAATCATTTAAATGTTTTTTGTAACAATTACAGTAAAATAAATGTACCAAGAGGTTATTCTTCCTAAATGCAACTTAATTTATGGAAATGATCCAATGGGGCATTTCTATTTGCACCCTGAAGTCAGAATTTGAGAGTTTTGAGGTCAAGGAAACAACTAGAACATCCCCCAGTCAAAATTCCAGCTTGGAGAGTCAGACATTTGTCAACACCACCAACCCCAAAAACAAATATGGCCGACGTGCACACCATTCTGTAGATTATTTCACCTTGCAGGGAAGGTTAAGAGACGCTGGTCTGTCAGGGAGCTGTGTGGCTCGGTTCATTAGCTACTGTTTCCGGTGCACAGGATCAGTGAGGGAGGGGGGTCATCTCTTAGACCTGCTACCCTTTCACAAAGGGGTGCCCCAAGGCTCCATACTTGGTCCAACTCTTTTTGTAATTTATAATGACAATGTAACCATTGTTGTAAGCAACTATCATATTTGTATGCTGATTATACCATTTCACATTCATGACACTGCAAACATTCTTAATTCCGCCTTGTTCCGAGTGCAAAATAGTTTTAATAACAGCAAACACCCCTTCTCTGATCTGCATTTAAAACAAGTAAAAGTCTTCTTCGGGGAATCGTCTCATTGGATTTTTCATAATTTCAATTTGTAAGCAGTTACAGTTTCTCCAGATTTGGCTGGACTCTTTTCTCTCTCTTTCACTTTCGTTCGAAAATGCATTTGCTATTTTATTTTAATCCCCATACATTTGGTCTGTATGATTTGTTGTTTGGTTGTATTTTGTGTATATGTTATCTCTTTGCTGTTTTATGGTCTTGAGCCAGAAAAGGATAGAGTGCCTTTAGAAGTTCTCAATTTACCGGTCGATCTACGTTCCCACCCTCATCTATGATCATGAGCTTTGGGTTGTGACCGAAAGAACGAGATCTCAGATACAAGCGGCTGAAATGAGTTTTCTCCGCAGGGTGTCTGGGCTCTCCCTTAGAGACAGGGTGAGAAGCTCGATCATCCAGGAGGGACTCAGAGTAGAGCCGCTGCTTCTCCACGTCGAGAGGAGCCAGTTGAGGTGGCTCGGGCATCTGGTTAGGATGCCTCCTGGACGCCTCCCTGGTGAGGTGTTCCAGACACGTCCCACCGGGAGGAGACCCAGAGGAAGACCCAGGACACGCTGGAGGGACTATGTTTCTCAGCTGGCCTGGGAACACCTCAGGATTCTCCTGGAGGAGCTGGCCCAAGTGGCTGGGGAGAGGGAAGTCTGGGCCTCCATACTTAGGCTGCTACCCCCGCGACCTGACCCTGGATAAGTAGAAGAGAATGGATGGATCTTAGCCTGCTGCCTTTTAGCCAGGTCACCACTGAAAACGAGAATTTGTTCTCAACTGAGTTAAATAACAAAGTCAAATAAAAAAAATAAAAACATGAAAAGTGGTGGTATCTTAAGTAATAGTTCATTTTTACTTCCATTAAATCAGTTACACACTTAGTACTGTCAAATACGCGTTACCCCAGTGTTTACATTTATAAAACACAAAAAACGCAGTATCAATTCATATATTGCTGTTGGTTAACTGGATAAGCTACTATCTTGTTGGACTGAGACTGTTAGCAACAATTAAGGAACGTCATCCGCATGACATATTCCAAAATATCTCATAACATTTGTGAGGGTTAAAACCAACAAAGTCCATGCTCAATAATCCAGGTATACAATCCAACAATTTTCAGTCCGGTCATCTGGATAGTTTCTTTTATTGTGCTGAAACGTTTCACCTTCCATCCAGATGGCTTCATATTTTACATGACGTGTAGTTTAGCCTTACTCCTCAGTGAACAGCATACATGTATATAACGTATATAACACAGTACACGTTTGATCAAATGAACAAATTCACTGCTCAAAATACAAAATGAGTGAAGTTCTGTTTTTAGTTTCCACTTATTAGCGCTCACAATTAACCACAAAGTAACGTGTGTTCAGTTAATTCAAGGTCCTGCTGTCCTTGGCCTAGTTTACTGCTCCTGTGGTTATTTGTGTCAACACAACTTAACCAGGTCAAACCACAGCACGGTGCACAAACCAGGCTACACAAAAACAACCAGTGCTTTACCACAAATCAACTTGGAAGAAGACAAACTTGAGTTTTTTATTGCAACTTTTGAGCACCGAGGGTTTCGACGGAGTCCTCAGAAAGAGGTTTGGCCCGAGCCAATACTCAACGTCTTGCTGATTTTCAGCATTTGTCGCCGTTTTCCTGAAATAATGACTGGTAATGTTCAGCAAGGTATAAGCAGCCCCGGTTGAAGAGCGCCGTTCTATATTCAGCGCTTGTTCAACAGCAGCTTCACATTTTCTCAAAGTTGATATAACGGGGTGGGAGGAACGAGGGCACCTCGTGAACGGTGCAGCGCTGCGCGAGCGCCGTGGTGAGTAATGATGGCAGCCAGGAGACTGGCACGGAGGCAGGGGACAGGGCTCATCGGGTTTGGCTGCGGATGACAAAATGTTCTGCTCCGTTTTACATTCTAGTGGCGGAGAGCGAGGCGGCGTCTAGAAACTGGGCAGAGACGGCGTGGCGTTCGTCATACGCCCGTATGCCAAGTGTCTAACGCACACACGTAGCCTCCGTGACACACCTTCTGGAGGTTTCTAACAAGAACTACCTTCACGTCACTTTGACGTTAATCACCTTCCTGGATTTTGTCCGTTAACGATCATGATCCAGGCAGTGATTGTGTTTCGTGTCTTGTGCCGCAGAGTCAACAGGAAAGCTACGACGTGAGCTGCTCATCGTGCAACAACAGGGACCAGCCTAAAGCAGGGGTCCGCGACATTTCAGATTAAAAATAAATACCGTACTTGCTGCCGTATAAGTCGCATTAGGCCAAATATGTCTAATAAGGTGGACAAAAAACATAAATAAGTCGCATCTATTACGCGTCACCGTGGACAACACAAAAACGTGGGCCGGTGTTGTGCCAAAAATCGATTAGCTGCCAAATGGCGGCCGCGAGCACGGAGGACTTTAACAAGAATTTAACAAGATTAACACTTAAGAACAATTATTTGTTTGCTCCACATTATAGTAAAGGTGTGTCTCGGTTGAACCTTTACTTAATAAATGCACTTTAATGGTCAAATCAGCTTCACTTCACCTGAGCGGCGCAGTGAAATGAAGCTGATTTGATGTTTGCTCCAGGAGTTCCAGAGCGAGATGAAGGTGCTTGTATGGCAAGCCAAGTGTCTCATTAATAACCACTTTTACCTATTAATGAGACACTTGGCTTGCCATATCAGTCGAGGGCCCTCTAGTGGCTGAAAATGGTAGTGTTCAATATTTTCCATCAGCTCTCAGCCAAAAACTGGTTATAAATATGTGGGGAAAAAATGTATTAGTCGCTTCCGTGTATAAGTTGCAGGACTTGCAAATTTATGCAAATAGGTGCAACTTATACGGAGAAAAACATGGTAAACAAAGACATTTCTGCCCCTTCGCGCAATAAATAAAATGTGTCCAGAGCCATAAAACCTGCTTCAGCTGTGATTATCAACTGGTGGCCACTTCAACGTTGTTGGAGGGGGGCTTTCACATCCCCCCACCCCCTCAAAAAATAATAATAATAATAATTTTAACATTTATTGATATTTTTACATTTTAGGACAAATGAAAACACCATATGTATGTAAAGAAGGAAATAAATATTACAATTTATACAAATTTTGATCATAATTAAAACATTGAATGTGAGTACGGCAGCCACCTATTATTATCCACCTGACAAGGGTTTCTTAACTTTATATCTTTACTCTTCCATCAACTTTAATCCAGCCAGAACTGCAACGTGTACCGCCACAAGTCTTGTTTCAAAACAAGCGGCACGGCACCGGGATGTGGGCCATTACTTTTATCGGTGTTTTGAGTTACCGGGCGACATTTGTGCAAAAACATCGGGACTCTGACAAAAATTTGATCTGCACTTTTACACTCCAGCCTACAGGTGGCGATGATGCATTTGTTTTACAAATGTATTTCAAAGAAATACATTTTTGAGTGTTGCATTTTATTTTTATTTGTTGAAGGCCGAGTGATAAATTGTCATACAGTATTTATTTTTCATCCTCCGTTGGTTGAATTTCCAGTATTCTTTGTTAGTCCTGTTTTGGCACCACCTTTTGAACGGGAGTTGGTGCCAAAAACGTCCACGCGTCGGTATTTTGTTAAATTTGCCTCATGTTCCTCGTGAACTAAAGTATCTTTCAATATTCTGAGTGAAATCTTAAAATTACAAAGTCTTAAAACAAAAACTGAAGCAGAACCAAACTAGAGCTTTAGAAAAAACTCAGTCTAGCCAAAATAAAAATACTGCAATTTTACTTTCACTTAAATCTCAAAATCAATGTTTTTCTATTGCATAATAAAAATCCTTCAACTGTACACAGTTTATGAAAAACCACAACTAAATATAAATAATAAAAAATAGAAAGCAAAAGATAACAGTGACTCCGCTCTTTCAGTTTAGTTAAAACTGACTTTAGCTGGACTAGCCTAATCTGATTTAAGCTAGCCTAACCAAAAATAATTTCATTTTCTGTAATAAAAATTGTGCTTTAAAATTTTACAATGTTTCTGATTTTTTTTAATTTTTTTATGGCATGAGTAAAACAATAATAGTTTTAAATCTCAAAGAGGAGAAAACATGTTAACAGTTAAGCTGACTTTGCTAAATCAGGGGTTCCCAACCATGGACCTTGAGGAACACCATCCTGCATACTTTAGTTGTTTCTCTGCTCCAACACACCTGATTCAGTGATTTAATTACTTCCTGAAGTTCTGCAGGAGCCCGTTAATCACCCGTTCATTCAAATCTGGTGTGTTGGAGCGGAGAAGCAACTAAACCATACAGGATGGTGTTCCTCAAGGACCAGAGTTGGGAACCACTTAGCTTTGCTAGCAAAGTAGCCTCAGTTTCTTTAAAAGTGGAGTTTAAAATGGATTAATGGTATATGTAGAACTGCAAATTGTCAGTTAATTGTTTAATTAGTTCAAAACCTAAACAAGAACGTCATTTTTTTTAAGGAACTTGGGTTTTCACGTGTTTATGTCTTAACTTGAGTTAGCTTCAGCAGCACGATGGCACAATTTAAAATTTATCCAAAAATAATGTTTCACGAAAATTGTAAATCCCAATTATGGAAGATATTCTAGACAACAATATAAGTGAGTGTTTATTTTTAATTCAAGGAGGGAAAAACAGTTAAGCTACCTATGATAAAGGTTACCCTTGCTAGCAGAGTAGATAAGAGTTTAAAATGGATTAAAGGGGATTATTAAATTGCAAACTGAAAGTAAATTGATCAAGCAGTGTAAGTTAAATCATTTAATTAATGTCAAAACTAAGAAGTGGCGATTATTTAAGATTTTTATTCGTCTTGGCCTGAACGTAGGACGTTAGCAGCACGACGAGAATAAAAACGAAAGTGGAAAAGCTGCTTCCACGCTCGGTGTTTGGGTAAAGGGGCTTACAGTAGCTGTTGTTACTGCACTGTGTCTTCACATTGGACCTGCAACAAGATTTCCAATTCACAAAGTCTGCCCCCCCCCCACACACACACCAATGATGAAATACGGCTGTATTCTACAATACACCTGCAATCTAACATATGTAACAATGGTATAATAAATCATTACGCTGGGGGGGGGGGCTGCCTCAGCCGCTCTCCGTGCACAGTTGTCCTGTGAATAGCCCCTTCTTATTGTTTCTAAATTCAATAGTGGACCCCCCCCACACTCCCCTTCTCATGCTTCCTTTATTACTTGTCTCGTTTATTGCGGCGGCGGCGTGTTTGTTCATATCGGGCTTTGTAGATGAAGTTTTTGCAACAAAGGTTATTGAAATCAGACCCCGGGATCCAGAAGGATGAGTGACGCCGCAGCGTTCTTCGGCTTTTTGAATGTTACAGCAGAGCGCACCGCGCTTTGGAGCAAGACACCGTGGCGCTCCACCTGCACGGGAACACCTGCACGGGAACACCTTCCGGAGGAAGCGCACTACTTTTCTTAAGGATCTCTTCTTGAAGAGTTCAGTTCTTTGTTTTGCCCTCCTCGGCTCCGTGTTTAATCTTTCATTAAATACGTAAAGATGCTTTTTTAAGGAGTTTGGATTTCTGCAAGGTCCATTTAATCGTTTGGGGAAAACAAAAACAACCCGCTCCATTTACTCCGTCCCCCACAAGGCGTCATTAACTTTTCATTTCACTGGATTTGATTACCTCCTCAGGTCGACCCAGAGCTGGGGTGCCGGTGAGCAGGAGGGCCCTCTTTGCGCTCTGAACGAGGGGAACGAGAATCTTGGTCCGCGCCGCGTTCCTCGATTTGAGGTAGTGCGACTCGTCCACCACCACCACGGAGAACTGTTGCCTGCTAAGAGCCTCCACCAGGAGGCGTGCGTCTGTGGTGAGAAGGCCGTACCCCAGGATGGTCACCTGACTGCTGCCGATCCTCCTGCGGAACATACGAACAACCGTTCAGCTCATTCTCAGTCGTGACGATCAACAAACACGTCTCGCAAAAGTTACAAAGGAAAAGTTGCCATGAGTTGCAAGGGATGTGTTTGGGATTACTCTCAGCTACTACCCCAAATTTAGGTCAACATCTGTAAAACTGCTTGAACTGATTTATTACCGTACACATGTTAGGAGGGGGGGGGGGGGGGTCATAAAATGTCCAAAAATAACAGGAACATAGGAACATAGGCGACGTTTGTCAAACCGAGTCAGTAACTTGAATTTATCAAGTTAAAATAGAAAAAATGCACAAATCTGCTGATTTTTCTATTGTAGAAGCTGAAAAGTAAATTATTTTACCTAAAAGTCCTCAGTAACCTTGAAGGTGCTTCTTCTTAGAGACATTTAAAACCTCGTAGGAAAAGTCCATTTCATTTATGCACATTTGGTAGTTCCCAGTAAACTTTAAACTTGGTCAACTTAGTTTAAAACTAGAGAAATGGCATTTCCTGTGAACGCTTATTGCAGAAGAACTTGCTAAAACAACAGCTGCAATTAGCTAAAAACAAGCTGAAGTGCAGCTGAAATGGAAGACCAAGTCTAAAAAAGCAGAAAGAACAGATAGCTTCATTTGGTTTAAACAAGCAGAAATTAGCACAAATGTGTTTTTAAATTAGCTAGAAAAAAGCTGAAACGAGCAATTAAACAGCTAAAAAAGTAGCTGAAAATACAGAAAGAAGCTTAAACCAACAGAAGGAAGTGGAGAGAGCACATTTTTTGCTGAATTAGGCTGAAAAAAGTTTAAATGTTTGCAAAAAATGTGGAATTAGCTGAAAAAGCTAAAATTAGCATAAAACAGCTACATAGTAGCTGAAATAAGAAACTATAAGAAATAAGCTGAAAAGAGCAAAAAGAAGTTAGAAGAAGCAGAAAAATGTTCTAGTTGGTGGAAAGAATGTAAAAGGAGCAAAAAAAACAGCTGAAAGTAGCTAAAATGAGCTGAAAAATGTTTAAATTAGAAGAAGAAAGCTGAAAGAAGCTGAAAGAAGCTGAAGCAGAACAAAATGACATAGGAGGACAGTTGACAGTTGTTGACAAGGTGGCATGGTGGTGGTGGTGGTGGTGGTGGTGGGGGGGGGGGGGTCGTCGGTAGGCCTGTCACCAGAACAGATGTTGCTGGGCTATAAATTGTCTCAGAAATTATTGCGATAAACGATAATATTGTTTGAAATATGACAATAATTAATAATTATTGTCATATTTAAGAAGAAACGTTCTTGACCACTGGATGGCAGTATAAGACTGAACTGACTGATGGATAGTGAGGGAGCGAGCATCATCTCTTTATGGGAGGGAGGCTCCTTGACGTGACATGGGCTGCCTCTTGTTCCTGTTTATCGGTTCTCAAAATGTCGGACGCTCGTGTGGTTTGAGCTCTTTAGCATTTTTCACACAAAGCTTTTAATTAATAAAAATCAGTAAACAAGTTCTCAGCTACTTTCTGCAGAGAAAAACAACTTTTTACAAGAAGGCACGAGTTTGAACCGTGAATTCTGGAGCTTCGACAAGACGGAGGTTTTCTCCGCGAGGTCGGCCTGTTAGCTTAGCTCGTAGCTTAGCTCGTAGCTTAGCTGCTTTTAATCGTACAAAAACGCGATTTTGGACGATTACAACAGATTTTAAAGAGAAAAGAGAAGGGGAGGGGTCAGTGAAGAACCGGAGTTGAACTTTTTGTCCTCCAGTGTCTTCAGTAGAAAGAGAGACACGAAGAAACGATGAAGCTGATAAATGAAAATGAGGTTGATCATTTTCATTTATCATGCGATTAATGGATTTATTGTTTATTGATCGTATTCGGGACGCTCGGTTCTGTTGACGGAGCGGGGCGCCCTTCTTATCTAGTGGTAAGGGAACCACTGAGGCAGTACTTAGTTCATTATTTTTAAAAGTTTCAAGATTAAACGCATCATAATTTTAAAGAATCATATTTATTTTCTTGTCCATGTCCCAAATAACTCGCTTTAGCAGCATGACGGTGCGATCTAATCAGAATCGGCTTTATCGTCAATGAACACAACAAAATTACATTTCAGTACAGCCCGTCGGAGTAAACGTAGACAGACATGGGGAGACGGAGGTGACTGAGGTCGCGGCCTTCGGGAGGCGCTGCCCTTTTCATTTAGATAATGAAAAGAGAAACACGGGGGGGGGGCACACAGTGTGAGAGTTGCAAAACAAGATCTCTGCACAGAAACGGCAACATCCTGATGACATCATAACACATGTACGCACGAGGAGGCCGATGAAGGCGGCGAGTTGTCCGCGCACACTTCCATAGTCCTGATAAGAGATGGTGCAGTGCACGTCGCCCGAAATCAATCCAACAATGATTGCTGTGTTTAACAAAAATTGCAAACGGCAATCATGGAATAATTTCTAGACAACAATACTACTTCAGGAGTTTTAAAAATAAACTAATGTATTTGCAGTTTTTGTGCAATTTTTGGCCTTTTGTATGAATATCATCAACTTGATAGTTGTCATTAAACTTATTGGCCATTATAAAAACTTATTGTGGCCAAAAAGTCGTGGTTAACGCTGAGAACCGTGTTAGGAGTTACAACTAACTGAACACAGAGTGGTTATTTTCCAAAGCTTCAGTACACGCCGGCACCGACGTGCACAAACACACAGGCGACGTTCGTGAAACTCAACGAGGTTCTGAGAGAAATCAAAAGCCGTTCCCAGCATCCGTCAGGCGTTGGTTCTTAGGCGCCGTCACATCACGTCGCTGGGAACGCTGGAAGAAAGTGCCACAAACGTTTCGTAAAAGAACGAGCGAGTCTAAATGCTTCTTTTTTTTTTGTGTCATCAACACATTCAGTCCAAGGACACGTTTTTCCCTGAAGGCGTTCACAACCTCTTTACACCTCATCTGTGATGTGAGGTGGGGAGTCGCCCCCACCCCCTCCACAGCTTCAAGCCACAAAAATAGAAACATTCAAAACTAGTATGAAAAAAGAAGAAGGGGGAAGTTGAGCTCGTAATAAAACGAGCCGGGGTGGTTTTATGCTTACACGCCACATTTGTCCACAATGCAGAAATGCGCTCCAACCTGAATAAACAGCTGGGGAAATGAGGCACATTTCCCAAGGACAGCATTTTTCTCCCCCCTCGCCCTCCCTGAAAACTTTCAGCTCTTGTTCAATATTGCAAACGTTGCCTTGACATGATTTGTCTGTCAGCGCTGTCAAGCGTCGGCCCCTGCCGGCTCTTGACATGGAGGGACACTCCGAGATTAATTCATGGGCCCCGCCTCCGCTGTCCATCACGCTGCCTCGGCCCTACACCGTGTGGCCGAGTGCGCATCGTGGGGTTTATTACATCACTTTAGCGTAAATTATTACCACTGGCACAAGTAGGAGCAGCCAATATCAGAGTCCGCTTCACTTATCGTTACTGCGCCTGCTTCCCCTTAAGCTCCAATAATGGCTGCAACCCTCCATAATGATCATTACTGTGCTGAAATGTGGAACGTATGAGCACTTCGGAAATGATCTGCAATGGGTGCAAAGGGCTGGAAGTGAGGCTCAAATAGGGGAGGTTAGGTGTCTGGGTTTGATTCCCAAGCAAGGGAAGAATGGTGTAGCTTCTGCATTACTGTGCACTCTGTGTCAGACAGTGGGGGTGAAAAGGGAGCACTCTGTTTACCGGTTGGTAAACATTACAAACCTTACCAATGGTCACAAACTCTGCATAGAAACAGAAAGAATGAGCAGAAGCAAGCGGTCAAAATGAGTTTTCTCCGCAGGGTGGCAAACAGCGGTGGCTAACCACCCAGACATCGTTGTGGTCGACGACCTACAGAAGAAGGCAGCGGTGATAGATGTAGCAATCCCAAGTGACTGCAACAGCAGGAAGAAGGACCAGCCGGAGAAATACCAATGGTTGACAGAGGAAGTACAGAAGTTGTGGAGAGTCCTGGTGGTCACTGGAGCACTTTGACCCCCAGACTGGAAGAGTGGCTCCAACAGATCCCAGGAACAAACTCAGAGATCTATGTCCAGAAGAGCACAGTCCTAGGAACAGCTAAGATACTGAGAAGAACCTTCAAACTCCCAGGCCTCTGGTAGAGGACCCAAGTCTGAGGTGAAGTGGAACAATTGCAAGATTTTTAAATGCATGTGTTTAATTCTTGTGAAGGATTCAAACCAGCCACTAGGGAACACAAGCCAGTGTATATCTTATACATGTGTGTGAATGAGAGGGAGGCCGGTGGAACAGTGAGACTATAAGCAGCAGGAGACCTCGAGGACTTGGGGTCCACTGTCCAGGAACATGGGGAGTGTGGTAAAGAGGTGAAGAAGAGAGTCCAGGCAGGATGGAGTGATGGAGAAAAGTTTCACGAGTGATTTGAGACAAAAGGGTGTCAGCAAAGGTCAAAGGAAAAGTTTACAAGACAGTGGTGAGACCAGCTATGTTGTATGGTCTGGAGACAGAGACATGGACAAAAACACAGGAGACAGAACTGGAAGTGTCAGAAATGAAGATGTTGAGGTTCTCCTTAGGAGAGACAAGGATGGAGAAGATCAGGAATGAGATCATCAGAGGTACAGCACAGGTTGAACAACTGGGAGGTAAAGTTAGAGAGGACACACTGAGATGGTTTGGACATGTCCAGAGGAGGGACGGTGGTTTGGACATGTCCAGAGGAGGGACAGTGGTTTGGACATGTCCA